TCTTATGGATGCTATTTCATTTGTTTTGGGAATTAAATCGGCACAATTACGATCTTCACAGCTTCGAGATCTTATATATCGAGGCCGAGCCATGCAGGACGAAGATGAAGGCGACGATGGTATGGCGCTTGAATGGCGTGCAAATAATCCAAAGCGGGCATGGGTGATGGCTGTCTACAAAGATGATAACGGAAATGAAATAAAATTTCATAGAAGGTTTTTATAAGATAATTTCCTTGTTAATGTGTAAAACGCATATAATACAAATTATTTATGTAATTCACATAGCATAACGTCGTCTGGAACAAGTGAATACAAAATTGACAACAAAGTTGTTACCTATGCAAAATATAATCAAGCATTAGAACAACAAAATATATTGGTAAAAGCGAGAAATTTTCTTGTATTTCAGGTATTAATTTTATTTCAATTAATAACGAAACTTAAAATTGACAAATACCACCCTAATTTAGTCTATGAAATTTATATAATCTAATAAGGGTGATGTAGAGGCTATCGCATCACAATCCCCAAAAGATTTAACTAGATTGATCGAACAAATCAGTGGGTAGGTAATGGTCTAATACGCTTGACCTTAGTAAATGAATATGGTTACGATTTGCTAAATAAATTACGTTCGGAAGATCATTGGAATTAAAGGCTGATTATGAACAGTTAAAAATCCAGCAAGAACGCGCAACTGAAAATTCAGCATTCAACTTTAACAAAAAACGCGGGATAAATCAAGACATACAAGAATATCAGAGGCAAAAGGCCCAAGCACAGCAATTTGAAAAACTACAGAATGAAAAAGTGAGTGCAATAATTATTTTCACAGAAAATATGGGTATCATGTAAATTATTTAATATCAATCTCTTCCATGATCAGACGCGAATTTTAGTGGATTATCTTTTATGGAAGCTCTATCATATACAAGGAAATATTGACGAATGTCGTGAACAGATAGATAGTCATAATGAAATTATTAGAGAAAAACAGCAAGTACAGGTAAGCATAATGCATAACTTTTCTTGCAAATATCCTACTCTAACTTTGGACAAAAATTTTCTTTTAGAAAAAATATGATGCAGATCACAAACAAGCTCGATTGGAACAAGCAGAAATTCACAAAAAACATTATAGGATGGAGAAAGAGATCCAATTGAAAGAAAAAGAATTAGAAGAAAAGGTTCCTTTTCTTTAATAACAAACTTGGTCATATCTGTTATTACCGGGTTTTAATTTTTATGGTATTTTCCTCCTTGTTGTTGACAGCGCCCGGTGCTATTAACGATGGATGAAAAAATCACCTATTCTAATAGAAAATTAACTCAAATGGAAGAAAATGCTGAGAGAATTCGAAAAGATTATGATCGTCAGGTGCGCAATTGATTGTTTCGAATCATGAAAATGATTTAATTAACGATTATATATACTATAAAGTCGAAAAGGGTAGAAGAATTACAGCTAGAATTAGATCATGTCACGAGAGCTGCAGATGAATATGAAGGTATCACAGTATAAATTGTGATTAACAATTATTTCCAATAGTTGGAAATTAACAATAATGATATATATATAGCATCATTAAATGCTGACAGCAGTAGCAATAAGAAAAACGCAATACTCAACACAGATGAAATTGCTGAATATAATAGATTGTAAATAATCTTTTGGTGATTTAAATTATTAAGGATAATAGTATATGACAATTATTACTTAATATTATATATTTTACTGTTTACCGTAGGCGAGAACAGGCAAACAAGCAAACAGTTTACGAAAAACAACAATTAGAAAATCTCCGCAGACAAGAAAAGACATGTCGTGAATCTACACAGAGATTGAAAGAGAAGATGGAGGATTTGGATAGACGTCGACATCAACTAGAGGAAGAGAAATTGGCTCTTACGGATCATAAAGAGAAGGTGTTGATGTAATTCTATATATTGCTTATTTTATATTCACAAATACTAGAATGTTATAATATTTGATATTTAAAATTAGGTATCTGCTAACGTGCTGCAGTTACAATCCGATATTGATCAATCTAAAAAGGAACTTCACGCTGCTGCTACAGAGCGTGAATCTATTAAGTGAGCCTGTGATTTTTTATTATAAAATATAATCTTGAATTATTTATAATATCATTTTCGTATATGTAGCCAACAAGAAATTCAGCTAAATCGCGAATTACAAGAAATACTCAATCAACTTACTGTGGCAAGTGTAGACCAGAGAGAATCAGAACGAGAACAAAGAATGAAAGAATGTTTAGAAAGCTTGAAGAGAGTATTTTCTGGTGTGCATGGACGTCTTCTTGATTTATTTTCTCCTACTCAGAGAAAATACGCAGTACCTGTATCTATCATCCTTGGAAGGAACTTGGACGCAATTATTGTTGATCAACAAAAAATTGCTATTGAATGCATACAGGTTTGTTATTAGACAATATCCTGCCTTTCTCGATTTATGTTATGACATATATATTAAAATTAAAATTAAATTTATGTTCATTACGAAAAAGTACATGAGAGAACAACGTCTTGGTCATGCTACATTTATCCCACTTGATACAATTGTAGTCAAATCAATAAATGACAAATACCGTAGCATAATGAAGGGCGCAAGATTAGCAATAGATGTTATTACCTACAATGATAAGCTTGAACGCGCGTTTCAATATGCCTGTGGCAATACTTTAGTATGCGATACACTAGATATTGCTAAACACATATGTTACGAAAAAAACCAGCAAGTCAAAGGTATTGTACAATGCAAAACGGTCTTCGTAAGGTTTTCTCCACTACTTTGGTGATTTAATATATTTCTATATTTTATACAGCTGTCACCCTTGACGGTACTATTATTCATAAAAGTGGGTTAATTACGGGTGGTCATAGTGATGATATTATTTCTGGTGCAAAACGAGTAACCGAAAAAAAACGTGCAGATAGTATGGATGGTGAGTCTTATTATTCATTTCTTAGTGAGTAATGCGATAGTTCGTAATTCGAACTTTTATTTTTCTAGCATTAAGAAGTCAGAGAGATGAGCTTATGTCAAAATTGAACAATCTCAGCAAATCAAAGAGAAGAGGAAATTTTGAAGAACAAAAAAAAAGTGAGATTTCTGGCTTAGAGTCAAGGCTGGAATTTTCTCAACAAGATTTGGTAATGAATTTGATTCTCTTGTCAGAAATTCAATAAATTTTTGCAATTAATTGCATTTTTGACCAATCTAAAATTGAACATAATAGACAATATCCACAGCAAAACTTGCAGCCATCAATGATGAATTGATTTTTATTTCAAACGAAGCTGCACAACTTTTGCCAACTTTAGAAGAGGTTTGTTCTAAGTCATGTGAACGAATTTGAATGTATTATCAACTTTTATGCATAAGAACTTTGGCATTTAAATTGTAGTCACAAAACGAACTTGTTGGTCTCGATGCACAAGTTAGTCAATGTGAGAATAACATAAACGAGAAAGAAGATTCTATTTTTCAAGAATTCTGCCGGAAGATCGGAGTTTCAAACATTAGAGATTATGAACAACGGCAATTAAAAATGGCTCAAGAGATTGCAGAAAAAAGATTAAAATTTACAACCCAAAAATCTCGGCTTCAAAATCAGTATGCGCAGTATTTTATTATTCAAATTTTAATAATGCTTGTTCGTGATTTAAACATTCCATAAACTTTCCTGTTTCAGATTGAAATTTGAAACAGAACAAAAAAAAGAAACGGAGGATCGATTAAATAGACTCGAATCAACTATTCAGGATGAATCAGATAGACTCTCCCAATTCAAAGACGAAAAAAAACAATTGTTAGATGATAAAAAACGCATTTCGGATGAGATTTCTGAAAAACAAAGGGTTCTCAGTGAGATTAAAAATGAATATGAAGCTAAGACTGCTGCA